CTATATATTATTACTATAGCCACGTGACTTATAGAGACTAGCAATATAACGCCATAGCAATAAATTATAAAATCCTAAAAAATATAGTTGTTTATTAGATATTTATTCATTTTACCAAATCTTGGAACTACATAAACTGTTTTATCTATACTTTCTACTGGTATACAACTATAATAGTTAATTAATTTTACTCTTAAACATCTCTATAATTTTTTTTTTCAAATGTTTCATACTAATGAATTAGAGCAAGGTTAATCGGTTCCTTTATTCTGATTCTGTAGTATTTAAAAAGTAATAAAACCTTATTTTTAAACCAATTTTAATTAGATAAGTTTGCCTCATTTAATATACCCAGCATAATATATATTAAAATTTATTATTACCTGGCCATATCAAATTATTTCATTTTTTTCTTCTATACCACTTACTGACACGTTTGAAAACATTGGTTCTTCATAAAAACTTTTTGTAGCACATATAATATCTGTGCTTTTGACGGAAATGGAAGAATATAATTCAATTCGATCACTGCTTAAAAAAAGCTGATTTATTTCCAAAATATTCCTCAAAAAATTTATTAAGACTACTTAACAAATGTTCGAGTCCATCAATTTTAAGGTAATGTAACTCCCCACTATTATTTTAATGAAGTCATCCATGTCTATTAAGTTAAATTTCTATAAAAGGTTTTTGTATCCTTCTGTTTTTCAATATTTACTGGTTGTCTTTTTCTCTGTTAATTTTTGTTATTTAATCTAAAGTGCAAATATTAAGCATGATTATTGTTAACTTTTGAAGTGACTAAATTGATTTAATTTAGTAAATAATAACCATCTTAATAATCTGCTTTATAAATTTTTTTTATTAGTCATATGATAAGGATTTTTTACATAATATTTATGTAAAGTCTCATAAGTTTCTGTTGAAAAACTATTTATTGAACTATATTTTTTTATTGCAGGTATTACATGATAGCACCATGTATGGAGTTTTGGTAGTTGCATATTACTTCAAGAATAGAAAGCAAATATATCAACAAAATCTTCTGCCCAATCTATAGTAAGATCCTAGGTTAAAAAAAATAAAATAAAATAAAAGAGTTTAAAATATGTGAAAATGAATAAGCTTTAATTTTTATTATACCTGAAGTTCACAAGTAGCCAAGTATATTTTAAGAAACTTGCAAAATATTTTATACAAACGGTTATTACTGATGACTGACTTTTTTTTTTGTTTGTGCTATAAAGGTTATTAAGAACAAAAATAATAAACTTTATGATATTTCGCAAGTCATCAGCAGTCATACGTTTCATATCATATCCATGTTTCATTATCTTGAATCTATGAAATCTAAGAATTTCCGTAAAGCGTTGTTCAAAGATTTGAACAGTCCTGTTTTCACACTGCTCAGTTAAAAGTTTTTTTGTAAAGATTAGCATGTACTTAGGCACTGTTGCTTGATAAATATTGAAATCTCCAATTAATTAGAATATTGTTAGTTATATATTAGAATATTGTCAGGCCATGCAAATTAAATTAATTGGTTCTCGTTTCATGAAACAGACAAATAGAACGCAAAAAAATATATTATGAAGAATAAAAAAAATTATATGTGTTAATATAGAAAAAAATTTAATTTTTATAAAAAGTCATCCGGTCAGGTAATAAGAACCAATTTTACTTATTTGCATATTATATCTTATTCTCCAGAATATATTTTGTTCATTATGAATTGAATTTTCTTTAGCCCAATTAGCCTCGATTGCTTGTCTCATATTCTGATGATTTCTTAGTATAATTTTATTTGGATCTAGATTTATATTATTTAGATTATCCTTTGGTACTAGACAAGCATTACATGGTCTTTGTACTGAATATGATCGATAAATGGTACTGAATATGATCGATAAATGTTCATAATCATATTAGCCTCAAGCATATCAGCTAAGATTATTGAAATTCATGGAATAAATGTAATTATGTCTTGTCGAACTACGAACTGAAGTTCTGGACCATCAATTATAGGATTTAAAAGAATCGATAGACACCGCTGAAAAACAAGTCTTTGCGCTTGTCTAAAACTTTCAGAATCTTTGGTTTTTGAATCTTTGGCTTTTAATATTGGTAAATATCTAATTAATGTCTTTGATTCTGGTTTATTTCTCTGAAGGTTTGAAATATTGCCAAGAGATAGAAATATTGGGTGTCCAGAAGATTTTCTCATATGATCTAAGGTCATAGCATCAGAATAGAGAATTATCGAAAGTAGATGTTGGCCAACAGATAGTTCTAATTCTTCTCACTTCTACCAATTACAATTATACTGTTCTTTAAATATTCAATATTCTATACCATTTCTTGTTTCAATATTTTCTGCATAGTTTAATACCAAATCTCGATTAATACTATCAACTACTAATAATGATTTAATAGCCTGAATTATTGGCTAATAATAAAGTATATATTTAATATCTTGGAAGATTGCGATTGAAATTTTCTTAAATGTCATATATATAATATTTGTGTTATTCAAAAATTCTTTCCCAATACGTATTGATGAAAGCAAAGGTGATTTTTTCAAATTAAAAAATTTATTAAAAAAGCGTATAAAAGCATTTGCTGCCCTATCAGAAAGCTGATATTTAGTAGTATTCTCATAAATTCTTAGTAAGCATCATTAGGCCATTGTACTTTTTCTGAATCATGCAAATCATAGTAAGCATCTTCAAATGATGCTCCTTTAGAGTCTTCATCACCAACTGGCATATTTTCAAATTTTAATTCATCACTTTCAATAGGTTGAGAAGAGGATGAAAGAAAAGCTTTTTCAGAATAATCCGATTGATCCAAAGAAAGTTCAGGATTGAAAAGATCTGGTTCCATTGTTTGTGACATTCCTTGGTTCTAAATTTAAAAAATTGTAGTATATTTCTGTTAACATTTTATATTACTGTATTGTCACATAATGTTCCAGGGTATTATTTTGTGATATATTGCTTGAAGAGAGTTAATAATTAATTTAACAAAATGCGAATCATAATTTTTGTTATTAAAAGTCTTTGGCTAAGTTAATTATTAGCTCTCTTCAAGCAATGTATCTCAAATAACGCCCGGGCATTATTTTGAGACAATATAGTAAAAACTTTGAACATTAGTTACCCATAGATCATCATTAGGTCATGTTGGCATATTCCAAACAGC